ATGTTATGATATACATACTTTAAAGCCCAAAAGCTCCCCATCTTTAAAGAGAATACGAGGTATATAGAAGTTTATTATTCGAGTATCAGTTATATCTCATGTCGTGAAGTTACCTCACCTAGGTATCTCACCGAGCTCCCATGTAACTTAATGACTAATAAAGCTCTTACCACATCAGTAAGGTAATTCTATTACTGTAACTATGCTTATGTACATATAGCTCTTTAAATCCGAGCCGGACTTTTCTATACCTTGGTTGAACATGTTCATGCTCTTTACCAAGCACGGACAAAAGATAGCCAATCTCCATAATGAGGACCTTGCTTTCTTACCGCTCTTGTTCTTTCGATCATCTGCCCATTGACGAACGAGATGCTCACACCACCTTCTGGCCTATGCTATGTAAGGATTCTCGTCATAGGTACATACCTACCTACACTAATCTTACCGCAATAGCCAGACCGCATTGACTAACAGGTCGGTTCATTTCTCGATGGTTACTATGTATTCGTACACACATACCTGCTATCATATACACCAATGTTCAGTAGCTAAAAATCAATATTTAACCCGATAATTAGGTAGATACATAAGATAGCTAATAATATGTAAATGTATATTTAAAAACCATCCCCCTTTTATTACCCAAGGTATACAGTACAGCCCATAGGCATATCTGTACATCTACATACATTTATAAAATCAGGACGTTGATCTACGCTCATAGATTGAAGGAGATATGCATTTGTGCCTATTACTAGCAATCATCTTAATACGCTATTGTAATCTTGTAAATCCAGATCGCCTTTCTCGCCCGATTCATCGTTGATGGAGAACTCGCCCGTGTAAGCAGACAAATATTTCGACCTTTACTTTCACACCCCTCCCCCCTGAACCTTGCAGGCAAACAAGGGGGCAAATCTTTCTGTTCCCTGTTTCGTTTGCCATAGGATGCAATGCGAATGCTACGGTACCATTCCATTTGACCCTTGCATGTGCATGACATACGTACTCTATACGTACTATCTATGCAACTTTTCCCCTGCGCAGTTATTCAGGTAAGCCGTTGCCCACCGTGCCATGGTCCTGCGTTTTAGTGCATTAAATAGCCGACTCTCTACGGTCTTGTGACATTCTATGTTTCCATTAACGTTCCATGACTACATTTCGGCTTTCCGATACTACACCACCGTATTATCATAGTTTGATCGTTCGTCCGCGTAAACCTGACGCGTATTGATATATCTTTAAAGGCCTTCGATATGCCATAAGCCCTATACGTAATATATAGAGAAGGACGATAACCCTCTATAAATCATATATCTATCATACGAGGCTACTTTCAAACGCCCTACATCTATTATAGCCCTAAGAGGTAGTCTTAAATATGAAATACATATGTAGTAAGAGTTCTGCCGCGCGCTTGCATGGGCGCGTTGACCGCATTACTATTACTTCACCTACTTCTGCTTTGCCGCGAGCTTGCAGGCCCTACCGCGAGTACATAGAGGTCCATTGTTCCAGAAGGCCACATCTCGATTATGGTATGGGACAGGGTCGCTATAGCAGACACGTCTTCGTAGGACTTGAAAAGGGAAGATGAGCAAGTGTCCGGGTTAAGGTAAAATGAAAATTCGATGGGGTCCTTGTCGGGACCAGTGTTCCTGCAGATATACCATGTCTCCCGTGCGTAGCTACTATTTTACCCTGTCCAAAAAGTATACAATGCTGTCCTGTAAAATAAGCTAGCTCTTATAGTATACTGTTTACACTAACATTATACAGTGCAATATGTATAATTAGGTAGCGTCAGAACTCACCGATGACAATCTACAGTACTTATAAAGTGAAACCGAGCGGAATTTTCCTTCCTCTATATTCCCATATCTGGTAGCGAGCTCGGCTAGGCTACCTTTATTGCAGATAAGTGCAAGCGTAGTATATGTAAGATACTGTAATACTCTTCTTAGACCTTTTCTTCGCTCATCTCCGCAATCCTACGACTAATGTTTGCGGCTTTTCCCCTTCTTCATTTCGCCTTGCGTTAAGAAGTTAGTTCGATCTCGACCAGTCCATCGTATTTCCCCATCCCGTACCATTGCAGACCGGATGTATAAATCATACAGTAGCGTGGTCCACGCAATGCGTACCTAGGTATGTACCTGAAAGAACATTTGCAATAGCCTACGCACGCGCAATTGATACACTATTACTATGTATACACTGCCTAGCTCATGTCCAAAAGTCCACTTTCATGCCCACCCCGTCATTTCCCCTGCCTTCCTCCACTACATCCTTGCCCATAAAAATGCCGTGCTTCGCATGGCGCATCTATGTCTACCGTCGCAACGTGTAGCGGAATAATAAAGGGGATCTTTGTACGAGTCTGCGAGTGTGAGCAAGGGATAAAGCCCGATTGCCTATGGTTTGTGCGACACCTCAGGGATGCGACAGAAGTGAACCGTGGAGCTGGGGCGCCCACCAGTGTCGTTTCTAATGCCCTTGTTCAGCGACCAGCCAGGGGGGATAGTAGGTCTTAGGGAGATTTTGGGGTTCGGTGCATGGGCAAGGGAGCGAGCACGCACACACAAGGGGAATCCAAGCAAGCCCGTCTTGTCAGATTGGGGGTTGAACAGGCATGTTTTTCCCGTTGTGGGGGAACCTCGAGCTTGTCCTCCATATTACCTAGGTAGGTATACGACAATAGAAATAATAGTAACCCAAACTAACAATCAGATAGGTACCCAAACCCAACTACACTAGTTTTAGAATAGTTAACTACCTAGCTTTCCTATAACCAGACAAGTTTTATATCATAATGTCGATTAGATGGAGCACTAAGCTTTGTCGTTAAAAAAAGATCTACCTGGCTACCTAAGAATCGTTGTCCACGTCTTGACCGGTTATTTGATCCGCCAATGTAAAAAAAGAAAAAGAAAAACCTCGTATATGCGCAAGACAAGTGAGAGATGAAAAAAGATACCAACCAACGCCGGTCTGAACATTATCATACATATCCGAATATCGGACCAGAAACCCTATAAATCGTGTAGCTCCGCCTTGCAAAAAGGAGGGAGCCTCACGCGGGATGCTGAGATACACTAGAAGGAATGGCTGAAACATCCCCGGCATCTCAACGGCTCATCCGAGTCGACAGAGATGACTAATTCGAAACGAGCACGTACATTAGGGCGTTTTCAAACTCGCCATCATCACACACTTTTCGCGTGGCAATGCCAATCATTTCTCGAGGATAGGTATGATAAGGAATTAGGACCGGAAAGTAGCTCGAACCGGATAGACTAGATTCTTACAGGAAGCACAAACATATCGTCCCAAAAGAACCAAATAACATAACGCGTAGTTAATTTGACGGCGAACTATACAAGATAGGAAAGATCATCCCAGCCTCCCCCCCCCCCTGAAAAGTACTTGAAGATATGATTTCGGGTTGTTGAATATCTCCGTCTAGGTCTTGTTACTAGGCCGGATAGGATTCGATGGCGGGCGCCGACACCGCCTGGCGCGGTTTCGCCTGACAATACATACCTCCGGCCTTTACTAACGCGTATACCGGCAACTTCCCATACGCTTTGCTCGGAATACTACCCTCATAGCGCGGATATGTATAGTGAATGTTGTCATCTGCAGACACAATCCTTCTTTAAGTGGGATATGCCCAATGCATTCACCTTACTGCTTCTGCCGTGTAGTGTAACTACTTCCTTCAATATTTGCTTATTGCACACTAGTGTCACCTACATACGAATACGTACGGGTGGGTTCAAGATTCATTCATCAACATCATTCAAAGGGACTCGAGTTCAAAATTGCCATTTCTAGTTGGCAAGCGAGGGAACCATGACCCATAATGAAGACTAGTTGTAATAATTTCAAACGTATCTTGAGGGTGGTAATCAAAATGACAATACTGCGCCGTACGATTTGATATGAAGTCATTTAAGATAGATATTACATTACGGTTTCATATTTTTAGCAGTACTGTACTCATAGCAAAGAGGTGTATCTTCAAATGGTACTCTGATATGAATTTTTTTTGAGTATCTTTGTTATTCGCCAACTGCATTTGGAAAGATTACAATTCCATTGATGTAATATAACTCATTTAGCATCGTAGTGATGTGATCGTTTCCAGTTGTATTGTAGTCTTTACCGTATTAACTCCATTATCCAAGTCGCCCAACATCTAATCTTAACTATCTCGTAATAGACTGTGTAAATATCTGCTGGGTCATATTCTCTAGACAAGCCTAAATAACACCGGGCTGGAACTACAAGCTCGAATAAAATTTCAAATAGGAAATTGTACATCGTGTATTATATTGTAGACCATGGTTTCCAGGGAGAGGCTCTGTTTATTAATATGTTACGACGCCTTCCTAACCAGTTTTCTCTTTACCATAACTCAATTTGATACCTCAAAAGTAAACATATTGACTACTGACGCTTCTCGTAGTGATATAATTCGCCCACTCCCACGGCGTACACTTTCTAATCCTTCATTTTATATTTGAGTTTTGTCAGAATTCTAGATGAGACATCTAGAACAAAGGACATGCTTAGTATGTATAGTTAAATACCTGACATAGACACCCGTAGTCAAATTAGAGTTCCTTGCGGAACAACAAAGTTGTTTCCATGCTGTTTGGTTCCACCTCGTGACATGACCACAATCGTAATCCGGCCGAGGTTAATCACGAGTTGATTGCTAGCTAATGACCCTAAAGTAAGTTGTAAATAACAAATAGTTTGAGAGTGAAAGACATGTAAAGGAATATATGAGGAACGACTGCCGTGAAAATTTAGACGCCTAGGAGATAGGTACCTAGGTGAGTAGCTTTGAATGCTTATACTTTTAGGAAAACCGATACAGCTACCAACTCAGACACAGGATGAAACAGTAAAATAGATATAGGATATTACGTAGTCTGTTCATTTCCACCCTTACTCTGCCCGTCGTCTACATGAGGCAAAAATGTGGGGGTTTTGAATAAATATAACAGTACAACATGCTAAACAGCAACTCGATTTCTCTTACTTAACATTGAGTGGCTTAGCAATGGAGAATGCTACAAGAAAAATAGCATAACAGGCACCTTAGGTAACCCAGATAGATATACTATAGACTATAACAATAGTTAAGGTACTAACTGCGTCTCTACCTTACTACCACTGGGAGCACATCGGACTATATCTCATTCCTGTACCTCATAGTCTGCCATGAGTCACTCTACCCCCCTAAGCATCATATTCTCTTGTGGCAAGAGAAGATATGCTAGGTAGGTCATGAGTGAATTACGGGGCAGTCTCGACATTGATAGTGGCTGACCCGCTGCTGAAGTAGCCCTCTGTAGCGACGATCATGTAGTTATGCGTGCCGAGCTTCAAGCCAGCCTTTTCCCACGCCGCGAAATGGTTGCCTGTATTAACAGTACCTCCTGTCCGCTTTTGCGTTCGCTGGAACATTCGCATCAGCATATTTTCACAGGGAAGTGCGAAGAACCGCCTCTCCAGAGGGAACTTTGAAAGGGGGCTGAGATGGAGAAGCCACTTACGATAGACCAATACTGCTGGAAGGTGCTTGTACCTTCAATACTCGGCTGGTTCGTCTATATAAATATTAGTATCAATTGTTTGAAGTTATATAATAACTCCAACCTACCCGTGTGCTGACGTAGATATCGTAGGTGCCGCCATCAGTAGTGACTGACCCCTTCTTCTGCGCATTTGAAGCCGGGTTGTATGTGCCAAAGTTTTCAACGACGTAGTACTCGACGAGCGGGTTCTGAGTCCAACCATAGACAGCAAGGTACTTCATATAGAGTCAATATCAACTCCTCGGAACAGAAGTATTGTCATCGGAAAGCACCCACACTGTTGCCATTGGGTTGGTATGAACCAGAGTACTTGATCTCCCTAAAATCCAGGGAAGGTAAGCCATCTAGAATAAAAATAGCCCCCCTTTATATCGAAAGAGGAGCGCGAGAGCGGATCTATGTCTTACTTTGCACCACCTGGATTCCACCCCTTACCACCGACGAAGTTACCGCCGCCTCCACCTATAACAACATTTTGTTAGCAAGTGTCCATCATATATCGAGACTCATAGATCCATAAATGAAGCTGCAAACATGTTCCCCAAGTTGGCTTATAGTACCCCGAAAGGTAATAATGAAGGTGATGAGTAGATAGATAACTATGTCATACGTACCCCAGTTAACGCTGTATTTGCCACCTGCTTCATTGGTGTAGGTGACCTGAGAACCGCCGTCGGTCCACCACGAAAAGTAATAGCCATTGTGGCGACCTGTGGCACTGGGAGTAGACTGGCGCTTCTCGAGGACACCAGAGTCCGTAATATTAAGCGGCGAGGCGGAAACCACGCCCGTGAGGGAAACCCACGCGACGATTAGGGACTTGAACGAGACCATGGTGGTAAAAGCTTAGAAGTTTCTTGCTTTAATCCTGAGCTGACCGGACACTGGAGTAGTCAACAGCACTGCGACGCGCACTGCTTTTATACTGTCGTCCTCCCGCTGCTAGTCGTCTTGGAGATATCAGGACCGTCTAGATCCCGTACCTGACGATCCCCTTCGATGCACACCATACCCGAATAAGCCTGAGGCCGTATATGCCCTCGAAGCCTTGAGTAGCCGCATATTGAGCGGGTAGGTTAAATTCACGATGCTACTCCAAGCAGGTATCCGGCATCCAGGACCCGGGATAATACATAGCCCAGAGCACTGGAAACAGGTGGGCGCTGTATCATAACCTTCCTGTGAAGCCGCACTGCTAAGCCATTTGGACTCGTTGCGGGGTGCGCCACGACTTCTAGACCGCGACTAAGGCCATCGTGGAATTTTACCGGAGGGGAGAATCCCACTTGGCGCTGAACGGCTCAACTCGCCGTATTCAGTGTGTTATCCTTGGAATTCTAGGCATCATGAAGACAATATAATCGTTGGTCAAGAGGTTTACTCGCTTTAGGAAACCACGGCTGTGGTTGTCCGCGGAGTATGGCTCTAAGTTTACGTGGACCGGCTTGGCCGGGTGAAGGGAGTCGACGGCCCGGTTGAAAGTAAAGACTCGATTGAACGATTTAATCTAGAGCTTGAAATCGAATTATTTCAGAACAGCCCTTGTTAGAAGAAGAAGATTATTCCTGTTTACTATCATGTAATAATGGTAGATACCTGACATAGGACATACGCCATTTCATGAATGGATTGGGTTCTAAGGTTGAGGCTATCGCCAATGTTGCCTTGTAGCAACAGAGATGATTTAATTTCCATAAGATGTCCCGGTAATGGCTATAACTATCACTGTAAATTGGCCTAGTCGTGTGTCTTGACTATTTCCGAGAGCCAAGCAGGCTAAGGTTCGCCAAGTCGATAGGGTGCCTAAGGTTTACTTTTACCTTATTACCTTAGGATATCGTGTCAAATGCGTGTAAAATTTCTTATTTGGGACATGTGACTTGCCACCTTATGCGAAATTTTCATGCTTTATAAAAAGCAAGAGGTGGATGAAAGAAATAACAAAAAAGCCGGAATCCTTTCGAGGTGTAAGTGGCTTAGGGGTGGATTCAGGGGTAGTAGATCTATTAGGATTAGGTAGTTTGTGGTTCAATACACATATCCTAACATTTACTTTATATAACATTTACCAAGGCTTATATTTAATACCTAGCATATGACTTGGACATAATGATTAAAAAAAGAAAAAGCTTTCCATAAAAATATGGTGCGGTGTAAACCTTAGGCTTTTGTGTTACCCGGAGGGTGACCTCTTGTTTAAGACAACAAACACGTGTCGATGAAGTTGAGACCATCCGTGCTGCTGGGCCGTTAGCTATTGTCTTAATTTTATTTTTAAGGTCTCGTGCAAGGTCTTTTTGAATAGGTATGCGGAAGACAACTTTCTGTCGTTGATATTTGACGCTGCTCACTTATAGAAACTATTGCCATAACCCGGAGCGACGTGACTTAGATCACTCTCCAGAGAAACAGCACCACGGTGCCGCAAGATCTTAGAGCCCAAAATAGTACATATCTATTACTGGCCGTAAATTTTGGGGGGGGGGGGGGGGGGGGGGGGGTTTTTTTTTTTAAAAAAAAAAAAAAAAAAAACAACAAAAAAAAAAAAAAAAAGGGATTAAAAAAAAAGACGAAAGTTAAAATAAAAAGGGGTGGGGGAACGAAATAAAAAAAAA